CGCTTCTGTTTAACTGTGCCTATGGAAATTGAATGTATTTTGAATGTATATACAAAATTCCACACAGAATATAAATAAATATATACATAAGTAACTATATGTATATATGTAGGTCTAAAATAAGTGATATTATAATGAGTGTGATTATAATGAGACACTGGCTTTGGTAACTGAAGCTTTGAATTAACCCTAACCCTTAGACCCCATTAGGGGATAAGGGGTTACCATAATGGACGGTTGGATGTTTCTGATGCTTATACATAAACGATAAACCCTACCCTGGGTTCCTCGGGGGCAGGAGCACTTGTAGGTGTTGATCAGGTCGATGCAGGTGCCCCCGTTCTGGCAGGGCTGGGACTGGCACTCGTTTATCTCCTTGGAGCAGTTTACACCGTGGTAACCAGGAACACACTGAAAAACAGACAAGCGTTAGCTAACAGAAAAGGTTAGCTAACCCTAACCACACTTAATGTGGTTAACCAGGAAAAGTCCAATTAAGTTTAAAGTTAGCATGAATCCTAACCCTAACCCTTACCCTAACCCTAACCACACTTTATGTAGCCCCCTCCCCTCCTCCAGTCCCTTAAATGAGCAGCAGAATAACTAATAAGAATAACTGTATTAGGGACGTCCTGATCCAGCTTTTTGTAAATCCGATCCGATCCCGATCCCGGCCTATCAGAGCATGTGTTAAAGTCTAAAGTTATTTATCTACTTACTTAGTTGTCAGACTCATGTTGAACAGGGATTTACTCTGATAACAACTTAATGGTTAGGACACACACCTGTGGGTTACAGATGCTAATGCTAATGCTAATGTGGGATCGGATCTATAATTAGAAATTCATATTAAAAAAATAAAATAAAATAAATTAAAGAAAATGACAAAAAGAAAAGAAAATAAAAGAAAAAAGAAAAGAAGGGTTAGGTTACAGATGCTAATGCTAATGCTAATGTGGGATCGGATCTATAATTAGAAATTCATATAAAAAAAAATAAAATAAAAAAAAAAGAAAATGACAAAAAGAAAAGAAAAGAAAAGAAAAAAAGAAAAAAGAAAAGAAAAGAAAAGAAAAAAAGAAAAAAGAAAAGAAAAAAAATTAATAAAAATAAAAAAAACACAACAAAAAAAGAAATTCATAAAACAGTCACAAACCATAGACCTCATTCCCGAACCTGTGAGCAACCGTTTAAAATGTCCGATCGCAATCAAACCCTTCAACTTCCTTCCTTTCTGAATATCGTTCCCTACCTCGCAGCTGTACCCGCCCAGGTAG